GTACAATAGGTTGCCTTCAGGCCCAGGCCTCCCTTGAAAAAGAGATCTGAGATCTCAATGGGATTTGCCTGGTAAAATAACGGTAAATAAAATGAAAAAATAAAATAAAAAAAGTAGCTGGAAACATTTTAATTAACATCAGGATGCATAATGTTGCTGAATTTAGCAGAATAAAGTTAAAACAGCGCCAAAAAATGTGTAATTACCTTAGAAAGCTAATTTTGGCAAATAACAGCTATAATTTAGCTACATTTGTAGAAAATAGCTTAATATAGCAGAAAGCAACTGTAAGAAGCATAAATAGTTCAAATTAGCAGAAAAAAGTAACAAAGCAGAAAAAGCAAAGGAATAGCAAAAAGACGTAGAATTTTAGCTAATATAGCAGCAAAAAAACTAAAGTTAGCACAGAAATAAGCTATAGGTAACAGAATCAAGTTGAAAGTAGCACCCAGATGGTGAAATGGTTGTAAAAAAAATTCAAAATTAGCTGAAAACCCCTCATAAAACTTCTATAAAGTGATCATTTGAAGTAAAGTAGGAAAAACAGCTGAAGTTTCCAGTAAAACAGCTAAAAAGTAGCTGGAAACATTTTAATTAACATCAGGATACATAAGGAGCACAATTTTGCTGAATTTAGCAGAATAAAGTTGAAACAGCGCCAAAAAAATATGTAATTAGCTTAGAAAGCTAACTTTGGCTAATAACAGCTTAAATTTAGCTACATTTGTAGAATAGCTGAATACAGCAGAAAGCAACTGTAAGAAGCATAAATAGTACAAATTAGCAGAAAAAAGCACAAATAAAGCAGAAAAAAAACAGAAGAATAGCAAAAAGAAGAACTATAGCTGAAATAGCAGAAAACAGCTAAAGTTAGCAAAAAGTAGTTAAAATTAGCACGTCATTTAAAGGAAGCAAAATGTTTTCCCCCTTTCCATTCTATATTATCACAGTCTGAACATGATAAATCCAGATGAGGGTAGGTAGAGGTAGAGGTACAGGTAGAGGTACAGGTAGAGGTACAGGTAGAGGTACAGGTAGAGGTAGAGGTAGAGGTACAGGTAGAGGTACAGGTAGAGGTACAGGTAGAGGTACAGGTAGAGGTAGAGGTAGAGGTACAGGTAGAGGTAGAGGTACAGGTACAGGTAGAGGTACAGGTA